AGTAGTAGTAGTAGTAGTAGTAGTAGTAGTAGTAGTAGTAGTAATAGTTGTGGTAGTAATTGGATTAATGATTCTTCTGGGCTTCCGTAGGGTGATGATCAATCCCGGATGCTTATCTTTATGGAGGTCAGCATTTGCTCAATCTTTGGTCCCTAGGTCTGGCCCACAGCAGGAGCATCCATCTCTCTCACAGTTGCAGCATATCTTGTCTTCCGCACTGTCTCCTTGAGGGCCTGGCCCTGTCTGACTGCCTATAATATTTATATCTGATTTGGCTTCCTGGGACAGTAGCATTGTGCAATAAGCTTTATTGGGCAGTAGCTGGATAAGATTATTTGAGAGAGGAAGCCTCTCTCAGAAAACCTTACTGTGGCAGTAGTGTAGCCATCACCCCAAACATCAAAGAGGACAAGAATTTTCAGGAGAAAAAAGAATGGAGGAGGGAGTCAAAGTGTGTTGTTGAGGCTCTTCCATAACAAGGTGAGCAGTCTCTGGGTCAAAGGGCAGCAGCTAGTCAGGGACCTGCAGCAGCTGGCTGGGAACCTGCAGCAGCTGGCTGGGAACTTTTATAGCCACAGGTTAGTCTCAGCTGTGGCTCACAGGTGTTCGATTCGGTTTTTCTGAGCATGTAAGGTGGGCAGATTCGAATTGGAAAAACAATTTGCTTAATTGAGATCTATTTAAAATGCACCAGCCTGCTGTAAAGGAGTAAAGAACACAGGCCCCTGTAGGCAAGGGCCATCTTCTAGCCACTTAATGTAGCAAGTGTTTATGGATCTCGTGCTACTATGTGCGCACTATGATGCAGCGGAGCCACTGTGCCAGTCCCAAAGGAAGCTTGCAGGGTGCTCTGTGGAGCAGCTGCCACCTCCCAGGCAGCTGTTCAGACTCGTAGCATTCTTCATGCTTTTGGAGGTGCTGGGAATTAAGCCCAGGACGTATGCATGCCAGGCAAGCACTATACCACGGAGCTATACTCCCACCACTGTTTAGACTGAGGGCTCCTGTGTATTGGCACTGATACACTTTGGGACTTCTAGAAAAGCAGATACATAATTTCCTGCTGTGGAAAGTGTAGTGGTGGCGGCTTTCTTTGTTTGGCTTTCTTGCCTGATACCTGGCCTATGCAGATGCTGATTTCTCCTATCTATTTTGCCCTGAGTGTATATGTTTCCAAAGAGTCCTTTTGCATGTTCTCAGATCTTTCTTCTTTGGTTTTCCTTGTGTTATTTCCAGAGAACTCACATCTCCTTCCTTCTGGTTCTGTTTTCTAGTTTCTTTTCAGTCCTGATTCTTACAGACAGTTCCAAAATACTTGCCTGTAGTTGTCCAAACTATTCCATCTCCCATTCCATCCTCTTTCAAGGGTTCTACTTGAAATTCTTCTTTAGTAAGGACCCCTGTGAACATCTGAGTGTTTCCTGAAAGAAGACAGTTTGAGATATGAATGACTGATCCCCTTAATTGGGAACAGTTCCTTTTCAAAGAGAATCACAAAGAAGCTCTAAATTGGTGAAATGCACTGTAGGGGGCAGAAATATGACAAAAAATTTCAGAACTTTTTGGCAAACATAGAAGTGCCTTCAGAGTCCTTAAGGTTTAAGAGCTCTCATCCCTATTCTGTTAAGTAGATGGGAGGGCAGAGACCCCAGGATTGATTTTTCTCTCTAGCATAATGGGTCTCAGCGCTGAGTGCTTGAAGCTCCCCCATGTAATATGCCACAATTGCCGGTTCTCGAGTTTCAGCATCTGCAGTACAATTTGGGCCACTCAGAATCCTGAAGCACTGAAATTAGGACTAGCGGCACGATGCAGACACAACAACCTGCAGCCTATCTTACAAATTATGCGTGATTGAAACAAAAGGCTTCATTTTAGAATTACTGCCTGATTTTCTAGTTAAGAACTTAACCAATCTGAATGAAATAGAGAGAAGCTTAGAAAAATCAACATAGATGTTTAAAACTGTGTGTATGTATTGAGATAGCTTTTTCTCCAAAAACAGTTCTCCACTGACATGAAAATATCTTTCCTGTGTAAATTAAACTCTTAGTGTTTAAGGCCACCCAATACTGGCTTTGTGGATACGGGTGGGTGCTGTGCCCCTACAGCCTTTCCTATGGCGTCCTCTCTTCTGTGCAGTTTATTTGTACTACCACAACGTGATAGTAAAGTCGAAAGCACAAGCAAGATTGCACCGGAAGTGGACTGATGAGGAGTCAGCATTAAGGCCTTTACAGGAGAGCTTCCTTTGGCTGAGGATGAATAAAATCTTGAATAAGTAAACACTCCAAGAAAAACATTATTTGATAAAATTATCCGAGAGTAAGGAGATTTGGTGTGTCCTGTTCTGACTTGTTTTATTTTGAAATGGTACAGAAGATTGAACCCAAAGCCCTCACATGGAGCTACATCGCCAGCTCCCTTTTCT